TACAGACGTCACATGCAACTCCTGGAACGATTCCATCAGCGCTGCCTCCGGAAAATCCTGCAAATCTCTTGGGAAGACAAGCGGACAAACGTCAGAGTGCTGGAAGAAGCAAAGACCAACAGCATTGAAGCGATGGTCCTCTGCCATCAACTCCGCTGGACTGGCCACGTTGTCTGGATGCCTGACCACTGTCTCCCAAAGCAGTTGTTCTACTCTGAACTTAAGAACGGAAAACGGAATGTTGGTGGACAGGAAAAGAGATTTAAAGATGGGCTCAAAGCCAACCTTAAAAACTCTGGCATAGACACTGAGAACTGGGAAGCCCTGGCCCTTGACTGCTCCAGCTGGAGGTAAGCTGTGACCAGCAGTGCTGCAGAATTCGAGGAGGCACGAGTGGAGGGTGAAAGAGAGAAACGTGCCAGGAGGAAGGCGCATCAAGCCAACCCCGACCGGGATCACCTTTCACCTGGAAACCAATGCCTTCACTGTGGAAGAAGATGTGGGTCAAGAATAGGGCTCCACAGCCACCTACAAACCCACAAGAATAGTCATCAAGGAAGACCATCTTACTCGTCCAACGAGGGATCGCCTAAGTAAAGTAAATAAGTACCCAGTGGGTTCTCATGGCTGACTCAAACCCCGGTCTCCATAGGTGTAGTCCAACGCTCAAACCACAACATCATGCTGGCTCTCTGATGTTTATGTTAATGCTCCCTAGTTAGGGATGCTGGCGCTTCTTTCCAAAACTAGGATGAATTCTCTGAGTGTTCAATATGGGCTGGATCCAAGCAGGTATCTTGAGAAATTGTCATTTCAAAAAAGGACAAGTAATCTCCCTTGCCATCCATTTGATTATATCCCTTAGCTTTATGGACCATCTCAAAGCCCAACAATGAAGCAATAGGGCATACTGCGTCGAGCCAAGCCATATTGAGGGACATGTACCCTACATTCTGGGCTTTAGCACAGCAGGTTAACCGTCAGCAGCAATAAATCTTTCCAGTCGAAAAGTTGACAGTTTGAAGCCTGGGTCAGGGTGGGCTCCTGGCCTTTATCCCAGCTTCTGTCTACCTAGCAGTTTCAAAAACAGCAGTGTGAGTAGATAAATAGGTATCACTTAAGCGGGGAGGTATTTAAGGCACCATAAGGAAATGCCAGAAAAATGCCGGCAATTCGATCAAGAAGGAAGTTTACAAACAAAGTTCTTTGGCAGGGAAAGTGG